GGAAGGACTCGAATCTCCAGCAAGCGGCCAAGAGATGGGACGCGTGCCAGAACTGTCGATAAGATGCCGCCAGTGCCCAGACAAGTTCGTCACTATACCCGACTGAGCTGGTCATGCACAGCACAGCACACTATTGTCTTGGGGGTTAGATGGCGCTTGTATGCAATTGGGAGGTTCTAGTTGCCTAGGCGCGCAAGCACAGCAAAATTCCAGGCTTGACCTTTGTGAACCCAGCCTTGTGGTGTGGAACATCTTGCCCACCACAAGCCTACCTAGCCTGTGGACCATTTTCTAGTCTTGTAACAAGTGAAGACCGAAGCGTCCATAAAGACCGACAATTTTGAGCCCTTTGCCTGTCAAGGACCGTTGATGATTGAGGCCAGCTCACGAGCGTGCCTTGCATGATGCAATCCAACGTTATGGCCCCTGAGTCCCACAATCAGTGACACTTCGTGCACGTCTGCCCCAGCCGCTCATCGGAAATATTTCAACAGCATGCATTACCTCCGGCGGTGAATCTTATTCGTAGTCACCAAGTTTCAGTCAGAATCAACCTCACTGGCCTCTCGCCAGTCTCTTGACATCGCCACAACAACAATTGCACCCACACCCGTATATTCCCTAGTCTTGGATGGCCTTGATCGCAGTTCAGCCCGGAGCAGGACCCTCAGGGCAAGGAGGACTAGTAGAATCTATCACCCGAAGGAGACTTACCGCGACAAATGGAGCTGGGTTGTCTATCCATGTCCCTGCGCCAAAGAGCTCGACACCGCCCGGGAGGATCTGACGCGTTGTACCCGACACAGACTGAGTGCCTCTAACGCCGAAACGATGGACTATGTCTTTGCAAAGGACCCCGCGTTCGAGGATGCTTCAGCTGTGGAGTTGCGGCGTCGCTTCCAGGCCCGGGTGCGGCAAGATGCAGGGGAGGGTTACAATCTGGATGGTCGTCTCGGATCACGGGATGCAAGGCTTGCCAGGCATGAGCTCTTTCCGGAGCTGATGGCGAGGCACTCTGGAACGGTAACGTCCGTCTCTTCTGGGCTGGGTGGGTGAACCCAGGAGCAATGATTGGATGAGGAATAACGCCAGCACCATTTGTCCTGAGTATACGCCCAGCTGGGACGCGAGGTATGGTATGCATATGACAGACCGCCCGTGAATGGGGTATATGCTGACTGGCAGAGGATTTTCGGGCTCACGGTCCTTCAAGTGATGACATGTCAGTCTGCCAGACAATCGAGGTCCATTTGCCCAATAAGAAATGTAATGAGTGGGAATCAAGTTTTATTGATTCATGAAGCTGGCCCATCACCAGCTTACCACCACCTAGATAGTGTGAGCCCTAGTGCTTGCTGTCGTCTCTCCATGCGATGCACTACTAGGCAGCAAGGCAGACCACCGCGGCCTATTTCGCTGTCCGCTAGCTGAAGATTTTGAACACGTTCAGCAGACCGGAAAGCTCGGATAACTCAACCCACGAGAGTAGATCACGAGAGGCCACAATTGTAGCCGTTTTGGTGAGAGTCATGCCAACGCCTTCTGAGCTTTTCCATGCTGTCACTCAGCCTTCATAACAGACTTCAGGCCCGCATGAATAGAGAACTGTCATTCTGGAATACCCATTGGAGGCAGTTTATCTCTTGTTCTTACGAGGCATCGAGAAAGCGAGAACCCCAGCCCAGGAACCCCTGCGTCAGTTGTCCCCAAAGTTTGAAGCTGGCCTTGAGGCTCTACCAGCCGCCTGACCTTACTTTCACAAGCCTCTTGTCTTCCCGGCGGTCTCAACGTCCGGTAGGTGCTGGGGCCAGGGTCTTCAACGGCTGAACGTAATAGGACCGGCTTGCGAGACTTCTGCTGGCGCGGCGATGCAGAATCTGGGCTTGGACAGAGTGATACTGCTTATGTCAAAGATTGCGGGAAATCGGCCAGGCCTGCTGCGAGGGCAGCGAAAAACCATCATTCGCGTTACTGTCATGCGCAGGACGTTTGAATGGAGCCGAATACTACTGCACCAGCATTGACAAGCTTTTAAACAAGTTTCCATCTGCAGCATCATGGGTGTATTATAACAAATGTCGATTGGCTTGCATTCGTTACACTGCAAGTTGGGACATACGCCGAAACCTTGGGCGACGAAGTTTGTGGGTGCAAAAAGCCGAGTCTATTCAATCCGACACGACTGTGCCAACAGCATGCTTATCCATGTGGCCGTTTCACAAAGCGAACAGCAAAACTCGCGCACTACTTCCTATCACCATCACACAGCCCGGCGTCGACCGGTGATCCGGAAGCGTCCCGTCTCGACCGACACCTTCCACCCGTCCTCTATCAAGGCAGCAGCCACGCTCTGACGCATGCGCGAGACGCCGCCGGCGCTGTGGCGACCGAGCCCCGTAATGACGGTGAAGCCGTCGCGCGCCTCGAGGTCACGGTATTCGCCGAGCCCCTGCCACCAGGCCCAGGCGCGCTCGCGCGCGATGCGCACGCCGTCGGCGACCTCGACGCCGTGCAGGTCGATCACCTTGCGCGAGCTGTTGTCCGTCACGAGCATGTCAGCGGCGACGCTGCGCGCCTGGGCGTACGTCTGGGCCTGCGCGCGGCCGCGCTCGGCGTAGTAGGCCGCCGCCTGGCGGTAGAGCGGGTTCGAGCCGCCCTTTTTAAAGCTGGCGGCGGCGGCGGTGTACGAGTGCGAGCGCGCCGCGGCGTGGGCGCTCGCAGCGTGGACGGCGTCCTGGTAGGTCAAGGGCTGGCTGGACTGCGGGATGGGCGGCGGCGGGGGCGGCATGGCGGAGGAGGCGCCGCGTTTGTGGGTCTTGGAGGCTGTGGCCGGGGTGAAGATTTCAATCTCGGCGCCGACGAGCGGCGTCAGCTTGTAATCGACGGCCAATCGTTGGGGGCCAAGGTGCGCAAAGTACGTGTTGAGGAGGGCGGCCAGCTCGTCGACCCACTGGTCGACGTCTCCTGCGATGCCGATCAGTGGCGGCATGTACTTTTCCGGGATGCTGTGGTACAGGTTGGAGAGCTCTGTGACGCGGGCGCGGCTGGCGTCGCTCGTAGCGCGGACGCCTTGTTGTATATAGCTGTCTAGATAGTCGATGATTGTCCGCTCGCGGGAGCAGCCTTGGAGGCGGAAGGCGTGGGATGCTTCGTCGTAGGGCAAGTCAAGTTTCTCTGCGATGAATAAGATGTCTTCGAGATCTGTGCTGCGGCGTGAGTGGATGTCTGGTATTGGAGAGGTAGGGATCCTCACATTTGCTGTCACCTTCTCTTTCCGTAGGGGAGCTGGGCTCGGTATTTGTGGACGATCCGGTCGCAGACGAGCCTCCCTTGCGCTGCTTCTTCTTCCTCTTCTTCTTGCTCGAAGAAGTAGTACCTTCAGGTTGGAAAAATCCATCGATTCCCTTCTTCCGCTCACCCGTCGATTCAAGATACTGGGTGTTGAGCAAACTGTCCATAGCAGTGAAGAAGTCGCCGTGTGATTTCTTAAAGGCAAGCTGGATGTCGTGGGTCTTGAGGTCGGCAAACATATCCTGAAGCTGGCGAATCTGAAAATCGTCAGACTGGCCCTCAAAGGCGGTGATCCGAGGAGATGGTCCATCACGTGGCTCGAGGGCCGGGCTCGTGATGGCCGTGGTGCAGGAATCACTGTCGCGATGGTGCGAGGCCGAGTCGTGCGACTGCGCCGAGCTGTCTCGGGCGTCGTGGGCGTCGTGGGCATCGTCTAGGGCTCCAAAGGCGTTGGCCACGCCACTCGCGTTGAAGCCTGTCGCTTCTTCGAGGACGACGTCCGATGCGAGTGTTTTCAGGATATCGCGCGCCGCCTCATACTGGGCAGGATCGTCCAGGTCATGGTCAGTTGTGATGGCGATGATGAGAGACTCATCGAGTAGGGAGGCGAACTCCTCCTGATTTCGATTCCTCGTCAGAGAATGCAAGGACCTCGAGGGGGGGGCGTCATGACTTACTACTAATTCGTCGTGCTTCGTTTTCGGGCCGGACATTTGTGGCTCATTCACGGGCCTGCGCCTGAGGGTTCTCGTGATCGCGGGGTAAGAGAATAGCGAGGGTAGGTGGGAAGACCGGATCGAAGATGTTTCATAATGAGATAGCCGGGTGAATTGCAGTGTTGTATAGTCAGTCCTCCTTCGTCTGGCGGCAGGCGGAGATGGTGCGCCGCGCTGGCCGATCACAGGTGCCGCGCTGGTTGGCAATCAGGCGCTCGCTTTGCGGTCGCGCGTCTGTACGGAGGCTGCAGAGGGGTGACCGCAGGCACGTTGCAAGCACAGCTGGTGTTTGTCTGTCGCGAGAGGAGATTCCAGGGATGGCAGAGGACTGTACAAGGACGGATTGGTGGTCGCGATTGATACGGTCGCGAGAGATGTGTCAGTCGGGTACCTTGGTGCGGTTACTTTCCTTGGTGAGGTTCCTGACCCTGGTGGTGAGGTCAGATGAGTCGTTGACGTCGCTACCCCAGACTCTGCGCCAGGCGAGACGTGACTCGACATTCGTCAAGCTAAAATTGTTGCAGTGGCCGCCAGGGCCCGCCTGCCTGGCGCTTGAGGGACATCAGCAAAGCCCTCATTCGGGTACCTAGGTAGGTAGGTAGGTACCTTACCCAAGGTAAGTACTCTTTCTACTAGATCATGCCAGACAGCCAGCCCATGCCCTTTCATTTGGAATTGCCCTCGTTGATCCGATTTACTTTCTTTTTATTTTTTCCTTCTATCCGAGGCCGTTTGGAAAGTATGCTGCCGCCCACTAACATACCTGGAGGTACACTTCATCCCATCCCAGCCGAAAGCCAGAGACCGGCCCGAGACCAGTCCTTCCCGAATCGGGCGGGGTCACCCATCAGAGGCCCCTCCGACGACAGCCTCGCCGATGTCAAGTGCATGAAGTATGGTGCCAAATCTCCTGGGTTTCCGCTATGATCCCGAATCATTTCTCTCCTCGGTGCATCCGTCGTCATTCGTGGCACCAGGACGCACTTCGGCATCATGGGCTCTTCCGTCGATAACAAAACGCCAACGGGCGAGAGCCTTGACCAGAGGTTGGATGCCCTGGTAGAACAATACAAGGCTGAGAATCCAAAGTCCGCTGCCTATCACCAACGCGCCCGCAATGTCATTCCGGGCGGCACCACACGAAGCGTGTTCAGCACTGATCCGTTCCCCCTCACGCTGTCAGGCGGCCAGGGCTGCTTCGTGACGTCTGTCGACGGTCGCGAATATCTCGACTTTGTCTCCGAGTACAATGCGGGCATCTACGGCCACTCGCATCCTGCCATTCTCGATGCCATCGACCGTGCAGCCCAAGGCGGCTTCAACCTTGGCGGCCCCAACGAGCGCGAGGTCGAGTTGGCCGAGAAGCTGGTCAGCAGGTTTCCGAGCATGGACACGATACGCTTCTGCAACTCGGGCACAGAGGCCAACACCATGGCCATTGCCACTGCACTTCACTCGACGAAGCGGAAAAAGGCCAGACAAGCACGTACCCCAGCGATACTATGCACCTGCTGATCGTTCCCAGGTCATGGTCTTCGAGAGAGGCTACCACGGCGGCACCCTCATGTTCGCCGGCACCAACCCCCTGAACCTGCCGCATGACTTTGTCATGGGCGTCTACAACGACGCCGAGACGACGCGCGCGCGCTTGACACTCGATATCGGCGCCATCCTCGTCGAGCCTATGCTCGGCGCCGGCGGCATGATCCCGGCGACGCCCGCCTTTCTGCAAATGCTCCGCGCCGAGGCGACGCGCATCGGCGCCGTCCTCATCTTCGACGAGATCATCACGTCCCGGCTCTTCTACGGCGGCCTGCAGGAGCACCTCGGCATCACGCCCGACATGACGACCATCGGCAAGCACTTTGGCGGCGGCTTCTCCTTCGGCGCCTTCGGCGGGCGCAGCGACATCATGGCCCTGTTCGACCCCCGCGCCACGCCCGACCCGCTGCACCACTCGGGCACCTGGAACAACAACACATTCTCCATGACGGCCGGCTGCGTCGGCGCCGACCTGCTCTCGCGCGCGGCGCTCGAGCGCACGGCCGAGCTGGGGCGCCGTCTGCGGCAGGGCGTCGCCGGCGCGTTTGCGCGAAGGGGCGACGCCGTCGTCCGCGTGACGGGCGTCAGCAACGTCGCCGGCTTTGACTTTCTCGGCCCCGACGGGCCCCGGATCCGCGCGGCGTTCTACTTTTTCATGCTGCGGAGGGGCATCCATGTTGCGAGTCGGGGGTTCGTGTCGTTGAACATTGTGCACCAGCAGGAGCACGTCGACCGGCTGGTGGCAGCTGTTGAGGAGTTTTGCCGAGATGTGCTGTGACAACCTAGGTACCTAGGAACCGACAAGCGGTTGACAATATACTAAAATGTCCCACCAAGTGAGAGAACCCAATATACCAGTAGATCAGCGTCGACCATGCCTCGCTGTGAGTAAGCCTACTAAGCCAGGTCAACCCTTTTGGTGGGACATTTCTTCTGCCGAGTGCTGGTCGAGCATAACAACTTGCCGCCTGAGAGGCGGTTTGATGTGCATACAGGTCATGGTGACGATACGAGGGAGCACAGTGACGTCTCAGCAAGGAGGGACGAAACACAGCAGAGATAAGCCGCCAGGCAACAGCTGGCAGAGGCTGCCTCGGGGGCACGATGACGACGGGAACATCTTGCGGTTGAGCTCCGGTGGCTGGGGCGCTAGCGTAGGTACGAGAGTACTCAAGCACAGGCTTAAGCACTGACGCTCAGGCACCTGAAGGCAAACTTAGTTGGCTGGAGCGAGTTCCCCGGATGGGCCGCAGGTGCAGCAACAGAGCGAATGACGCATCACACGACTGGACCCACCCACGCCGCAGTTCGGCAGCGTGAGCCAGTCCGATCCGGGTCGAAGCTCCCTCTCTCTCCCACCAACGGTCGAGAGGTACGTCGTCGCAGGCAACTGAGACCATTCTCGCCGCGTTCCTCAACGGTCCTCAACCTCGCCGCTTCCACCTCCCATTTGTCCACCCCTGATACTTTCTCCCTAACCCACCACGCACTTCTGTTCGAGCTTGTTCCTCGTTCCCATCGCGAGCCCAGCATCCATAGAACCACCTCGACAGCGTGACGACTGCCGCTAGTCGGCAAGGAGTGTGCGTCATGACGCAGCTTCGCAACATGCTCGGCGCCCTGCTCCTCGCCCCTCTCGCCATGGGCGCCTCACCCTTGACCCCGCGACACGAGGCTGGTCGCTGTGCCATTCGCGGCCATTGCGGCTCCAAGAGCTGGTTCGGCAAGCAGCTGCCGTGCGTTGACAACGGCCTCGCCGAGTATCCTGATGAGGAGCTTCGCAACCAGATCATGGACGTTTGTGGAGAGAAATGGGCCTCGGGCCCTGTCTGCTGTGACGCCGAACAGGTACGCCAACGATGCCGTGCCTCCCTCACTAGGTAGTTCGATAGTGGTCCAACAGTATGCTGACTCGCCCTCCTCCCAGGTGACGGCTCTCTCTTCGAATCTCGGCACCCCGAAACAGATCCTCTCCTCCTGTCCTGCCTGCAAGGAGAACTTCTTCAACCTCTTCTGCACCTTCACCTGCTCGCCCGATCAGTCCCTCTTCCTCAACATCACCAAGACGCAGGACAAGAATGGCAAGACGATGGTCACCGAGCTCGACCAGCTCATCTCCGAGACGTACGGAACTGGCTTCTACGACAGCTGCAAGGAGGTCAAGTTTGGTCCGTCCAACTCCAAGGCCATGGACTTTATCGGCGGCAGCGCCAAGAACTATTCCCAGATGCTCAAGTTCCTCGGCGACGAGAAGGCCATCGGCTCCCCGTTCCAGATCAACTTCCCCACCGAGTACGACGAGCCGCACATGGGCCCTCTGGATATGACTCCCAAAAAGTGCAACGACGAAGACCCCAACTTCCGCTGCGCGTGCGTCGACTGTCCCGAGGTCTGCCCCGAGCTGCCTGCCGTCAAACCCCCCGGCGCGTGCCACGTCGGCGCCCTGCCCTGTCTGTCGTTCGCCTCCATCTTCAGCTACAGCGTCCTTCTCTTCTCCGCCATCGCTGCCGTCATCGGCCACGTCGCCTGGAGGCGTCATGCGCGCCGCCGTAGCGAGAGGTTGAGACTCCTGCAGGACGCCTCTCCCAGCGACGACGAGGACGAAGGCGACCTCGTCCAGAACGGCGCCATGCTCGACCGGCCTCAACGCTACTACAAGATCAACACCTGGTGCGATGCTGCCTTTAGCAAGCTTGGCCATTTTGCCGCTCGCTTCCCAGCCATCACCATCGGCACGAGCATCGTTGTTGTCGCCGTCCTGTCCGCCGGCTTGGTGCGCTTTGACCTCGAACGCAACCCCGCCCGCCTCTGGGTCAGCCCGACGTCTGCCGCCGCCGAGGAGAAGGCCTTCTTCGATGCCAACTTTGGCCCCTTCTACCGTGCCGAGAAGGTCTTCCTGGTCAACGACACCCTTCCCCGAGGATCTGGCACTGTTCTCAGCTATGAGACGATCCTGTGGTGGATGGAGGTTGAGAAGAGCGTCCTGAGCCTCAAGGGCCCCAACTACGGTGCCACGCTGACGGACGTCTGTTTCAAGCCCGACGGCAGCAACTGTGTCGTCCAGTCTGTGTCGGCCTACTTCAGCAACGAGCCCTCTCTCGTCGACAAGCGCCACTGGCAGGAGGATCTTCGGGCCTGCGCCAAGTCTCCCGTCGAGTGCCGGCCGGAGTACGGACAACCGCTCGAGCCCAACGCGATTCTTGGCGATTGGGGCAGTGATCCCGTCAACGCTACCGCCATGACAGTGAACTGGGTCGTGAAGAATGCCGAAGAGAACAGCCCCGAGGTGGAACGCGCCATGGACTGGGAGCGTGCTCTTCGCGACCGCCTGCTTGAGGTCCAGAAAGAGGCCGAGGAGCGTGGTCTGAGGCTCTCCTTCAGCACCGAGATCAGTCTGGAACAGGAACTCAACAAGTCGACCAACACGGACGCCAAGATTGTCGTCATCAGCTACCTCGTCATGTTCCTCTACGCCTCTTTTGCGCTTGGCTCCACGACCTTGTCGATTCGTGAAATGGTCCGGAACCCCGCCATTGCCTTCGTTCAGTCCAAGTTTACGCTTGGCGTCGTTGGCATTCTTATTGTGCTCATGTCCATCTCTGCCTCGATCGGCCTGTTCTCGTGGGCTGGCCTCAAGGCTACCCTCATCATCGCCGAGGTGATCCCATTCATCGTCCTTGCTGTTGGTGTCGACAACATCTTCCTCATCGTTCACGAATTTGAGCGAGTCAACGTCAGCCACCCCGACAGCATGGTCGAGGAGAGGGTTGCCAAAGCACTCGGCCGCATGGGTCCTTCGATTCTCCTCTCGGCTCTCACCGAGACGGTGTCCTTCGCCCTCGGCGCCTTTGTTGGTATGCCGGCTGTCCGCAACTTTGCGGCGTACGCAGCGGGTGCGGTCTTCATCAACGCCATTCTCCAGATCACCATGTTCGTCTCCGTCTTGGCGCTCAACCAGATGCGCGTCGAGGATCACCGAGCCGACTGCTTCCCCTGCATTCAGGTCAAGGCCGCCCGGGTTCATCTTGCTGGCGGCAACGGCAATGCGAACGCTCGTTACTATGAGGTTCCCGAGGAGAGCTGGCTGCAGCAATTTATCCGTAGGACCTACGCACCCTTCATACTCGGAAAGAAGGTCAAGACAGTCATCATCGCGGTCTTCCTCGGCTTCTTCGCTGCGGGCATCGCTCTCATCCCTGAAGTCAAGCTCGGCCTCGACCAGCGCGTGGCACTGCCAGATGATTCGTACCTCATTCCCTTCTTCAATGACCTGTACAACTACCTTGACACCGGCCCACCCGTCTACTTTGTCACGCGCGAGCTCAACGTCACGGAGAGGCAGCACCAGCAGGAAATTTGCGCGCGCTTCACCACATGCGAGCAAACGTCCCTGGCCAATCTCCTCGAGGGCGAGCGCAAGCGTCCCGACGTTTCGTTCATCGCGACGCCCGCCGCCAGCTGGGTCGACGACTTCTTCTTCTGGCTCAACCCTGACCTGGGCGATCAGTGCTGTGTCGAGAACGGCAAGGCATGCTTCGCGGACCGTGATCCTGAGTGGGACATCACCCTCCACGGCATGCCTGAGGGCGACGAATTTGTGTATTACTTGGAGAAGTTTTTGACTTCGCCGACGAACGCCGACTGTCCCCTTGGAGGCCAGGCTGCCTACAGCGATGCCGTCGTCATCGACAAGAAGAGAGAGACCATTGCGGCCAGCCACTTCCGAGCCATGCACACGCCCCTGCGCAGCCAGGATGATTTTATCCACGCCATGTCCGCGGCTCGTCGCATTGCATCTGAAATCAAGAAGGAGACTGGTGTTGAGGTCTTCCCTTACAGTCTTTTCTACATCTTCTTCGACCAGTACGCAACGATCGTCTCGTTGGCCGGCAAGCTTCTCGGATCAGCCGTGGCCATCATCTTCGTCATCACCACGATCCTGCTCGGTTCGCCTCTGACTGCGCTTGTCGTGACAATCACCGTCTGCATGACGGTTGTCGACATTATCGGTGCCATGGCCGTCTTCGACGTCTCCCTCAACGCCGTCTCTCTCGTCAACCTCATCATTTGCGTTGGTATCGGTGTCGAGTTCTGCGCCCATATTGCCCGCGCCTTTATGTTCCCCTCGCGTACCGTCATGGAGCGTGCCAAGAACCGCTTCCGCGGCCGCGACGCCCGCGCCTGGACCGCTCTCGTCAACGTCGGTGCCTCCGTCTTTTCGGGCATCACGGTCACCAAGCTCCTCGGCGTCTGTGTCCTCGCATTCACGCGTTCCAAGATTTTCGAGATTTACTACTTCCGCGTCTGGCTTGCGCTCGTCGTCTTCGCGGCGACGCATGCGCTCATCTTCCTGCCCGTGGCGCTCAGCCTGTTGGGCGGAGCGGGCTACGTTGATCCCGAGAGCGAGGGCGGCCTGGAGCAGGATCTCGCCAGCCGGCGCTACAGGGCACTCGTGCCTGACGGAGAGTCGGACTCTGAAGACGACTACTAGAAGCAGGTGGACTCGGGTGTCTGTGACGTCGCCGTCGACGTCAACCCTTGATGAAGCAGGCCTAATCATGAACTAGAGATATCCGCCATTTGGAGTTTGGCAGATCTGGAAGCACACATCCATGAGGCGCAGTTGGCCGATCATCGGAGGAGATACAGCGCGATGACGGATATTTGGTAGTACTTGGGATGGGGACAGGCGTTGACAGGGTGCTTTGTGGTTCTCTTTCTTGCGGTGTAATCAGCGCATCTCTTAGCGGGGTAGTGTTACTTGCTGTACAATATAAG